ATTTGGTATATAAATAAGTAAAGTAAATAAGGTTTAGAAACTCAAACTTAGTATTTAATTAGAGAATATGCTTAGTAATACTGTATACTTGTATACAGTGTATACAGAAATTTTTTACTTATAGTATACACATATGTATGTAAATATATGTCTGTATTTTCAGCTAAAATTTTCTCTTACAATACAGTGTGTAAGTATATATACTGTAAGTGTATCTGTAAATTATACTACAGTACAGAGTACTAGTTGCCACCCAAAGGTACTCTGTTATAAGGGAACAAAGTTCAGAGACCCTTTACAAATACAAATATAATTGCTCTGCCTAGTGTACAAGAGGAAACTGTCAGCAATAGTATAGAGGGGACTCAAAGGCTTAGTAAGGGGACCCAGGCTACAACTATCCTACACAACAGAAATACAGAACACAAGCACTAGAATGTAGTCAGAACTTGCAGAACAGGCAAAGAGAGAGAGTGAGACAAGGTAGAGTATATAGAGTAAGCCTGAGAGTACAGGACTACTTAGAGTAGACAAGATCCAGACTACAGGACTAGTCTGATCTTGTACACCTATATATACTAAACTATACAAGAGCACTCAGGGAGTATGAGCCACTAAGAATGATAAGTCACAAAGAATGAAAGGAAGGAAGGTCAAAGATAAAGGTACAAAGAATGAAGGGATGGACAAAGGGTAAGAGACTATAGAATGAACAAAGAATGAAGGAGTGGTCAAAGGAATGGAATGATAAAGTAAGGAAGGGTAGTAGTAAGAGTCAGCATACATATAGTTTATAGACAGTGCCTCTGAGGGACAGAAGTCCTGAGTTCTAGTACAGAAGGGTGTGGAACCCTCAGAACTGAAGGTACAAGAGTAGAGAACTGTAACATCACCCTCCCTCTAGAACCAATCATCCTGATTAGTGAACATAGGGCTTAGTTAGTAGCTTGAGTATAGGTCAGAACAGTAGGGCTTGGAAATCCATAAGGCTGAGTTTGTACAGAGTACTAGGATGAAGCTAATAGAAATCTCAGATTGCCTTAAGAGTATGAGTAAGGTTCTTAGCAGGTTCCCAAGTGTGCTCCTCAACTGAGTACCCTTTCTAGTAAACAAGGAATTTGAGTTTTCTATACAGTAGCTTAGTATCTACTATATACTCTACTTTATATTCTAGTTCAGAGCTGATAAGATCTGGTAGAGGCAGAGGGGGTCTTTGTTGTAAAGGAAAACTAGAATCATAGTACTAAGACAATAGAACCTTATTAAACACTGAGTGTATATGCTTCTATGTTGTTAGAAGTTAGAGTTTGTAGGCAGAGGCACTAACCTTCTTTTCAATAATGAAGGGTTCAAAGTACTTGTTGTCCAACTTCTTCATTAGGCAATCCAAGGTCAGATTAGTAGCTTCTAGTATAACCTTGTTACTAGACTGGTAATCCTTAGCTACAGACCTCTTCTAATTATAGTTCTACTTTATAACCTGTACTACCTTCTCTAAAAGAGCTCATACATCCTCTCTGGTTCTGTACATCTGTTCTACAAAGTCTGTTACAGATTCAGAACTACTGTTTCAGTTTGGAACTGTCCTCTAGTACAAATGTCTCTTATAATTGAGGAAGAACAGGGACTGTCCTATTATAGAGTGTTACTAGTTATTGTGTACAAATTCTGTCAGAGCTAACTATTCAGACCAATCCAATTACTAATGATTGATGAACATTCAGAGGTAGAGCTCAATCTCCTGATTGACTCACTCAGTTTGACTGTTAGTCTATAGGTAATATGTAGTAGAAGGGTTCCCTTAAATTCTGAGAAGTGTATACAAGTCCTACATGAATTTTAACTCAAATTATAGTCTGCAATTGTGAATGAGCTTCTGAGAGAGTCTGTACAACTAGAAAACATGATCCTAATAAATGTGTACTATACTTTCAGAAGTGAGTTCTGTTTAGGTCAGAACTGTGTAGACTTGTTTAAAGAATCAGTCAACAATTATACAGATAGTATTGTAACTCTAAGACTTAGGTAGCTTACTAATCAGGTCTACTGAGACTTCTTTCTAAGAGTGATCTAGAATCTAATACAAATGTAGAGGAGCTCAAACCCTTGTCTAGTAGGCCTTAGTCTGTTAGTATGTATTATAACTAGTTACATACTTTAGGATTTCCCTCTACATTCCTGGCCACTAGTAGTTCCAAGTAATGAGTTCCTGTGTTTTGTGTTAGTCTGAATGTCCTACAGTCAGATTGTTATAATAAGCTCAAACAATGTCCTCCTACAGTTTCCAATCCTTTAGAATGTACAGTCAGCCTTCCTAGTAAACCTATCCATCCTTATCCTCCTCCTAATCCTTAGCCTGCTTCTCCAGCTACTTTACTACAACCTAGTCCTGTGTGTGTCTCAGAGCTTACTGTATACAAGTAACAAAGTTAACATTCTTGGATTCAAGTCAGATCTCTCAGATTGTCTTAGATACAAAATAGGAATTGTTTAGGAGAATAAGATTTTCATTATTATTCTCCCCCCTTTCATAACCTACTTGTCTTGAGAGTAAATTAGCTTTCATTATTTGTGTTCCAGGTTTGTGAGTCAGTACAAAGTCATAGTTCTACAGTTGTAACATCTAGTAGGCTTAGTAGTAGTTGAGCTTCTAAAGTGCCTGGAAGTACTAAAGATTAAGGTGATTACTCTAAATCTTAAACTTCTATATAGTACTGAGAAGATATTAACACTACTCCTCTAGGGAACAGACAATTGTAAGGAGTTCCTTATTATAGATAGGGTAGTTCTGTTCTGTTACAGAGAGGGATTCTGATCAGAACACTATCAGACACTACTTTCTGTTAATGAACTGGGACAGTACTACTTTATTTACAAAGTCAGAAGAGTTGGCTTTAACTCAGAACTTGTTTATAACTGTTGGAACTACTAATACAGGCTTACTAGTAATAGTCTACTTGAGGGACTCAAATGTAGACTACTACTAATCATCCTATTACTAAGGAATATCTTTGCTAGTAAGATTGTGAAGGGGCCAGACAATAGTACTAAAGTCTTGAATAAAGTGTTAGTAGTAGTTTACAAACCTAAGGAATACTTAGACCTGTTTCAGGTTCTAAGGTTGTAGCCAGTTCCAAACTATAGTTACCTTTACTAGATTCATACAGACCTCTCCTCCACCAATCATAAAGCCTAGATAATCTACTAACTCCTGTGTAAAAGAGTACTTTACTTCTTAGAGGAACAGTTTATTATCTTAGAGCTGTTATAGAACTGCTTAGATTAGTTAGTAATAGTACTTGACTGTTTAGGTGAAGATCAGAATGTTATTCAGATACACACTAACATATCCTGAGTCAATCAGATCTGTAAGGATGTGATTCATGAATGACTAGAATGTTGTAAGCAAGTTAGTTAGTCTAAAGAACATTATAGTCAGTTTGTACAATCTACAATTAGTTTAGAACACAGTCTTCCACTCATCTCTGTCTTAGATCCAAATATTATTGTATCCTTATCAAATGTCTAACTTAGTAAAAACCCTAAATGTATGTGTCTTATTAATGAGCTCCTGAATTAGAGGAAGCAGGTACTTGTTTTTAACAGTACCCTTATTAAGACAATAATAATCCTGGACTAGGTAGAGCTTCCTATCTTTCTTTTTGACAAAGAAGAAAGGGGAGGCTATAAAGGACTTTAAGGGTTAGATCTGACTGTTCTGAAGATTTTTCTAAAGGAACTTGTTGAGTATCTCCTACTTGTCTCTGTTGAGCAGTGTTGATCTCTAGTACTAGTTGAGGTAGAAGAGGTCAGTTGAGTCTGTAAGGTACAGACACTGAGAGGGGTCAAGAGTGAGAAGGAATAAGTAGATCCAAGCAGAACATACAAGTTCCAAAGGTAATGATTAACAAGACAAGAGTAGTGTGGAACAACAAAGCTACACTTTAGAACAAGGCAATATAAGACAAGACAAGGTAAGAGGGAATGTTTACTAAGGAGACTGTCAAACTACACACTAAGAGTTATAGTAGAGAGTAACTTGATTGCTAGAAAGTACAAAATACATGAGAGTATTTATAGAAATTATCAGTCCTTTGTAGCTACTAGTCCTTTATAAACAACTCTACTACTGTCTCCTTTATATCAACCTATCCAGGACTCTGGATCTGAGTCCCCTTTATATTGATTGACCAGCTGTCTGAAGGCTCAGAGTCTTGCCTTTGTGAATCAGAACTAGAGTCCAGAACCCAACTAGTCCAAATTGAGCAACCAAGACTATTGTGTGGGCAATAATAACATAATCAAAGGATTGCTAATGTGAGGATAATGTGACTTTGATATGACTGAGCCCTTCCAATTAGAATGTATCAGAATGTATGTGTTGTGTAAGTATAACATCTTCTAAGTGTTTTAGAATGTGACTGTCCCTAGTCACACCTGAGAGTGTAAATTTGCAAACTAGCACACTTTATGTTTCAATCTTCTACTTCTTTTTGAGTTTGTCCTTCTT